TTGCAGGTTATTTTTAAAAGGTAGGGTTACCCAAACCATATCTAAAATGCATCAGCTCTTGGGGTATAAAAATCTGTCCTCCATCACTTGTGATAATGTCTAACTTCTGCCATTATTGGCAGCCTTTGTTCTTCAAACCTCTATTTTGGGAATGAAAGTCTCCCCCAATGACACATTCTTGGCAGCATTTCTCTTTCTGATTAATATTAGAGATTTCTACCCATATCCTGTCTTTTCATTGTTGTGGGGGGAACCATGATGTGCTTGATGTTCTGATTATATTGTAACCATTGATGTTCTGATTATATTATAACCATTGATCAAAGTCTTGTTATTCTCACTGGTTTCCTCCCAAATTTCTGATCTCTGTGTATTGTTGACAATGGGCCCAAATTCTGAACTCTCTTACATATATATTCTCAGTTAAAAGGATTTCTTTTATAAAAGAAAGGTTAATGGGATAGAAACTTAGGGCCAGATTCTGCTCTACCAAAGTGCAATCCAATTCCACCCTCCTTGAGTCCCTGAAGAACAGCTTATATAAATGATGGAAGGGTCTTTCTTCTGCTCACTGCTTTCTGTGATTCAGTCTTTAGACTAAGATGACAGTGGGTGTGTCTACATGTGCAATTAGTGCTCAGAAAGCTTACTGAGCAGTAAAATACTGCACAGTAAACTTTTCTTGAGTGCATTTCTACACGTGTACCCATCGGGAGCAAATTTGCTCCCAACAGGAGCAGTTCTGGGCAGGGAAACTCCTGCCCTGCTCTGTTATTATGTGGCAGCCAGGGTGAGCTCTAGGCTGCCCTGGGTACCAGCCCCAGGCTGGCATGGGGTACTGGTGTCAGGCCTGGGGTCCAGGGGCGTATGGGGGGAGCTGTCCAGCCTGCCCAGCCCCTGCTCTGATCATGAAACCAGGCCAGGGCAATGTCCTCTGCCCCTGGCAGCAGGCAGCTCCCAGCCCCGGCTCCGTGATCAGAACAGGGACTGGGCAATGGCTCCTGGCTCCTGGCAGATGCCTGTTGCCAGGGCAGGCTCCGACTTTGGTGTGGACAATCACGGAGCTGGGGCCAGAAGCTGCCTGCTGCCAGAGGCAGGGAGCAATGTCCCAGCCCCATCTCCGATCGCAGAGCCAGGGCCAGGAGCTGCCTGCTGTGGGGACAAGGGGACATTGTCCCCACCCAGGCTCTATGATCAGGCAGGTCCAGGAGGAGGGGATTGTTCTCTTGTGCCCAGACAGGTGTGTAACCATGCGCTACTGCTCCGTAGCTACTGCGCGGTAAATCTACTACCTGCATTTACAGGTAACAGAAAACCACAAAGTAGACTAAACTACTGCACAGGAGCTCCTGTGCAGTTACACAGTGATGCTTTACTGCACAGCAGATTAGTCTACTGCGCAGTAAAGCATCTCATGTAGACACATGTAAGGCATTACAAAATTAGGCTTACGAATGTTTTTTTAGATTTGAGCAGGGGGAATAGGATCACACTTAGGCACCTACCTGGTAGGACTGGCCCTGGCCCTGAGATTCTGGAAATATCCCCAGATGGTTGCTTTAAAAATCTGCCCTGGGTTGAGGACTGGGTGACTCAGGAGAGTGGAAAAGCCGCGTAGAGGCCTTTGCCCGTTGAGTGCTGGCATGGAGCCGTGCCGAGCCAGTAAGGGGTGGTGATAGTTTCAGTGGAGGGGTTGGTAGGGTGGCCAGCTTGGTTTTCAGTGGAAAGATACCCACATACCAACTAGGAGGGAATGGGGCTACTCAGGGATTTTCCAGTGAAATGTGTTTCCATCAGAAAATGCCAAATCCTCCAAAACCAAGGTCTTGCACAGAAACGTCTCAATTTGGAGAAGCTTTTGATGGAAACCTGCCTGGCTTCCTGGTAGGAAGCTGGAAAACTGGGACTTCCCGACTTCCACGCTCCCTGCCACAGCCCTGTGGGTCTGGAAGCCCTGGGGCCTTAGTTCTAGCATAGTCTAGGTTTCGGGGTCCAGGTTTGCTGCTCTACGAGGGACCCCCCAGATCACCCTGACTCTAGGGGACACTGTAGGAGTCTGAACCAGCTGGGAGTATTGCTGAGAGTTAGGTGCTGCTGGCTGCTGCATTTTATTTTAGAAAAACTGAACTGAAACATTCCTATTTTTCACAAAAATGTTTTAAAATAAACTTTTTCATGAGAAATTTCAGTTTCTCTAGGGTTCATCCCAATTTAGGATGAAGACTTTTCTTTTGAAACAAATAAATTTCCTGCAGAACAGAAACTCTGCAGCTTTACCAGGTCTAGCAGAATAGTCAAGGGCTGTGAAAGGGCCATGGAAACCAGACTGCTCTCTAACCTGGAGGCGATCACCCCGTGTTTGGGCTGAAGGACATTTGTAAGGGTAGAAGTGCCCCTTGAGGAGCCCGCCTGCTCCTGCCCATACTGAGCCCATTGCACAGATAAACAGTCCACTCCCCCCCAGCCTTGTCAAGCCATCCTCCTTCACCCCACGCAGTACTTAATTATCTAACACTTCAATGAAATGGTATTTCAGAACAGTGATTCTCAACTAGGGTGCCGTGGCACCCTGGGGTGCCTTGAGATCTTTTTAAGGGTGCCGCGGGGTGCCATGCAATGTTAGTACTCTTGGGTGTGGAAACCCCTCCATGCATTTCACAAGATAAACCTCAGGATTTCAAATGGGAATGCACAGTATTAAAACCACTCTGATGCACAGGGGTCTTTCTGAATGCTTTGCAACAGAGGAATTGCTCTAGTATTTTTCTGTAGTTAAAAACTGAGTGAAAGCTTAGACCTGGCATTTTCTGAGGGGTGCCTGGAGTCTAACAAGGGGTGCCTGGAGTCTAAACAGGTGAAGAATCACTGTTTTAGGACCTGCAAAGTGAACTCTCCTCCCAGCCCAGCTGTGCATTGCCAGAAAGTCCCTAGTTTTCTTCCGAGTTCACAAACAAGTAGTTAATATTAGGAACAAAATCTAACAGGGGCTGGAATTTCCCTCAAGAAAGCATAAGAGCTTTTTAATCTTTGGTTTCCACATACCCTGTTTTGCTCTGAGCCCTGCTCTCATTGTCATCCTGTTCCTTCAGATATTGAGACACTGACCTTGTGCCAATAAAACGCATTGTTTTTGCTCCAAGGGGGGGAAACTCGGCAGAAACCTGTGCTGAGATCATTAGCAGGCTTCCAGTCCAAGGCTGGTTTTCAATCTCCCCACTTTTCACCTTTAACATTGTACAAGGCCAGACTTTGAGGATTTATCTCACAGGGGCACAAGAGAAAATTGTACCCCAATAAGGGAAAATCCATTGGCTTTTTTAAGACAAAGATTTTTTTAATAACTTCTCCGAAATATGGTGAGAATTTGAGATATTTCTCTCCATCTCTCTCTTCCAAGCCAAATCATCTCTCATAGGAATAGACACTGCATTTATCCCTGGACAAGTTGTGCCTGTGTTTATCCTGAAACAAAAATAACTTGGGATTAGAGTGTACCCGCATCACCCTCCTAATCAGAGTTTAGTGAATGGCTGAATGCAGTGCCACTCTTCTGCCATTGATTCAACTATGCAATCCCAGGATAACTGGACAGATGCATTTTGCAGTATCTCAGGATAAACTGTCACTACCCATTCAGGAAACCTTTTTAGTACTTATCCTGGGACAACAGACATGAATATGCGTACTCGTGCACTTTGTCCTGGCACAAAAAGGTTTGTCTTGGGATAAATGCGATGTCTGCCTGCAACCATCATTCAGTAGGGACCCGCTATACCTTACATAGCAGAAGACAGGCATATATTAGAGAAGTCTGTTTAATGGCATTTGCAAGAAACTCATGAGTCAGAGTGAAGGTTGGTTTTGAAAAGACTAGGCATGCGGTCCTTTAAGCTGGTTAGCTCATAGCTCACCCCAAGTCCTGGAGTTCATGTTGCTTGTTGAAAGCCATAATCAATACAGAAGTCATCTTTCCCTTAAAACTAACAGTGTTCCTATTTGGGCAGCAGTCATGGGCAGAGCACAAGCCACTGCTACAGACCACCAGTAAGTAGCACAGAGTTAGGTTTTATATTTACCCTGGGAGACCTCAGAAGTGGAGCTCTGACATCGGGGAATATGGAATACAGTTAGATGCAGCGAATATAAGCTTAGTTGAATATTCATGCGTCTCACCTTTACTAATTGTTTTCAGTCCTGTTATTGTTGCCATCATGTTCCCTGTAGCCACAGAGTGCAGCATAGGGACCCAAGGTGAACACTAAGGGCATGTGATTGTGTGTACCGCTCGGTTATAGAGCCAGGCAGTGCTGCGATGGGGCATGCCACACGTGCTACCTCCCAAACCAGGAGGGTAGCCGTTCAGGTGTGGCCCTCCAAATCCCCCAGCAAGCTTTGCCTTGCAGTATCTCTTCCCATCTGAAAGTAGCAGATGCAGAGTGAGCGTGCCATGTGTCAGGATGAGGCCGCCTGACACCGTGACGGAGTAGTACAGCTGATGGAGTGATGACAGGTTGGTCGAGCTTGTTAACGTTTTTGGGAATCCCAATGAAATGTGTCATGGGACTGATTTAATTTCAGTGGAAGGAAGAAAAACAGAATTTGGAGGGAGCTGCATTTCTGATTGGTTCTCCGTCTGGTTAAAATGTCATCATGGGTTGCATTTCATGGACATTTTAAAAAATTTATCCATTTTTAAAACGTTTTTTTAAAAATGGTCATCAAAATGTTGGCTGTCTCTATGAGCTCTACAGATCTGTTCTGATATTATTTCTTGCTAGGCTTGCTCCTGAGTATTGTTGCACTGTGCCTTCCTCTGCACAGCTTAGTCCTGGGAAACTGAAAGTGTACGGGCAGTTGTTTCTTTTCATAGCCTGGTATAAAAATGCAGAAGTTGATTCAGAGTCTTGCCTTCCCTAGGTCCTAACTTATTGCTGATGCTCTGGGCACGTGAGTTGTCCTGTACGTATGTGCTACTAAACTGTGCTTTAATTGTGCTGCAGTATCGGAGGGGCAAAGCTTCCTCATAAAGAACATCCGGTTGGAAAAATGCATTCACATCACCCACCACGAGAGCATCGGGATTGGCCTGGCTGATTGCAAGCTCCACTCTCAGCAGCAGCAGTGGAGCTGGGACCCCAGCACCAAGTCCATTGTCAGCCTTAAAACCAAACAATGCCTGACTGTCCACAAGCCGCAGGACTTTGCACTGGCCAGGCTGGAGCCATGTGGGGACAGGGAGCATCAGGCCTGGGCTTGCAGCAAGAAGGGTCACTTGACCTTGCAAGGTCTGGGCTTGCACCTCAATACAAAGCAAGGAAGTCACAAGGTCTTTGTGTCAAGGGAGAAGGACAAGTTCAGCAAGTGGAAGACCCTGACGGATGAACCCATCTGTGCCGTTGGCCTGATGGCGGTTCCTGGGCTGGCTGACCCGATCCAGAGCACTGCCAGCGGGCTGCTGTGGCCTCACGAAAGTAAGAGATGGAGCTGCCATCAGCCCCTAGGGCTTGTCACCCTGCATCCATCTAACAACTCATGTGAAATTGTTCTAACACAAAGTCATTCTGGCTCCGATCCTGCATGATGCTGAGTAGCTGTAGAGCAGGGGTCCCCAACTTCTGTGCTCGGTACTGTGCAGATGAGCTACACTGCACCGAGCTCCTAACATGCTGCAGGAAGCATCGTTGTCTGTTCACCTTCTTTTAACACAGCTTGGCCAGCCACGAGCTAAGCCCAGTCCCTCCCCCAGTGATCTCTGATCCCAGTCTCCCTGCATACCTGATAGTTTGCACCCTAGAGGGCATATCTACATGCTCCGTAATTACAGCACGTTAAATTAGTACCTATTATTACAGGTACAAGTCATAACAGGGATTAAGTTAATGTGCCGTAATCAGTGCTACTGCACAGTAGCACCACCGCACATCTTTTAAGTGGGACTAATGCACAGTAGAACATGAGCATGATTTTCACTGTGACGCGCTAATGCAGAGTAAAATTAGTCTACTGCGCTTTTAGCATCCTGTGTAGATGTGTCCAGAGTGTCGAAATGGAGGCAAGGGGGCTCAAGCATCCCCTCCACCTATGCAGAGTGTAGTGGGGACAGGATGCTGCTGTCACTGCCAAGACCCACGTTAACCCTTCCCTGGCCCTGTAATTCCCACAATTTTGCATGCTGAACAAGGAGTCAGAGCCCTGAATTTGGCAGCAGCCAGAGAAGTGTTAACCTAGCTCTTGGTGATAGCACCTGACACCTTCTCTTGGAGCAGCCTCCTGCTCCAGGCAGCCAGTGGGAAGCCCCATGTCTTCACTCCGACCACCCTTTACTGAGTCCCTGGAGCTTGCGTGCCACGCACAGCAGCTGCCCGTGCCACTTGTGGCATGCATGCTGCAGACTGGCTACCCCTGCTTTAACATCTCGTTTCCTGTGGCTGTAAGCAACACTGACGGTTCTCAAGAGCAGCAGGTTGCTCGTGAGCCACGGGTTGGAGACCACTCCTCTCGGGACACTCCATTAGCACTCTCTGCTACCACCAGTTTCAGGGGGGATGGTGGGCATAGTATGACTGAGGAATGGTGTTTAAAAAGGACCCTTCTTTCATTTTTTGAGCAGCAGACTGGAGAAAGAGCCCTCTCCCCTTCTCCACAGCCCCAAACAGTGCCCTCTTCCCATGTGAAATCACAAGCCTAGCATCATTCTTGTCATCTGCTGATCTAGCTCATTTCCGGGAGGTCTTCACTGTGGGATCAGCGTCTCCCAGCGGAGACACTGCAATACACCCTGCCCACCTCTTCCTGCTCACATGTCCAAAAAGACATCAGAGAGGCCACTTCAGGGTTGCCTGCAGCTGCTCTCAAATAGACCATAGACTGAGTTCTTATGAATAATTGGGGGGGTGAGGATATGTGTAGAAAGGGGGCATGTCTACACAAGACGCGTTAATGCGCATTAGCCTCATTTAATGCACACTACAGGCATGTGTCTACAAGTGCGCACCCTTAAGGCACATTAAAAATGGTGAAATTAAGCTAATCATGCCTAATTTGATACCTGCAAATGCAGGTATCAAATTTAGGTGCAATTAGTTAAAGCGCATTAATGCACATGTAGACGTCACCCAAGTTAATGTCATGATAGAGCAGCCTCGCCACCTCACTTTCAGGTTTAGAAAGTGTAAAGCAGGAGCAGGTGGGAAGAGCTGCTGTCATCCCTGTGTGGATATAATCCTTATTGTCATGAGAAGAAGCCATCCTGACCCGTAATGTCACTGTAAGGCAACCACTGAAAAGCAATTGAGATTAGTGGCTGCTTGCTTGTTTCAGCAGTGCCCCAAGAGTTCACACATCATGGGTTGGGCCCACTGAAAAAAAAATCAGGAGATTTGTTTTACAATCATAAGCTCTCCAACTAATAATTTTGGGGGTTCTCTTGATTGGCCTTCCATCCTCTTGGTACTTTAGCATTCATATGGTCACGGTTTTGAAGACCTCTTTAAACAAAGCATCATTTCCTGGCCCTGGGCTCATAGCTCTGTCCCTGGCTCTAAGTTGCAGAGCCAAGCAATGCTGTTCATGTAATAGGCAGCATTATTGATTTCTATGGAGAAGCTATGCTGGAGTCCAAAGCCAGCTCTGCAAGGTCCGAGGAATACCCCAGTGCGGTAGGAGAGCAGGAGCTTGAGTCAGGAGCAGCCGGGTTCTTATCTGGATTCTGCTCCCCCGCACTCCTGAGCAAGTTACTTAAAATCCTGGTGCCTCTGTTTCCTCCTCTGTAAAAAGAAGGGGGCATTTTTTAAACTGTAATGGGGTGCCCTAAAATAGAAGCATACACAGTACTTTGATGTTTAAGGCTGAGATTCACAAGTCCAAAAGAGCAATTCATAGGGACCCTGCCTAAGCCACATCATGGCCTAAAACACTCCAGACTCCTCAAGTTTTGGGGTGAAAATTGACTTAGGCAACTGGGGCATATATACACGTTTGGGGGGGGCTTTAATTAAAGTGCTCAGAGCATCATGCGTATCAGCGTTCCCATGCCGATAAGTGGCAGCAGGCACACCTTAACTAAAGCTCATCAAACGTAGTGTGCATTTTCCAGCACGGGGACGCTGCTACATGTGACGCTGGCGTCTGTAGGAGCACGGTAATTACCACACTCCAGAAGACTTGATTAGTCGAGTCTGCTCCAATGCGCTGTAATTACAGGGCATCAGAGCAGCCTCTCTGCATGTGTATAGGCGCCCCTGGCGTTCAGCGGCTGCCTGCGCACAGAAGTGCAACCTTCTTAGCTGAGCTAAACTGAGCATTTTAGGTGCTTGCTTGTATTAACAAGCAAAGTGCCCCAAGTCCCCTGAAGGGCCTAATCCAGTAGAGAGGATCATGGCACACCTACCACCCCCACACCTACCACCCCCACTTGCTGGGCAAGTGCTCTAACCAGTCGGGTATTGTACACCACTACAGCATCTTAAAAGAGAAGACAGCACCAGTCACCTGTATACACAGGGGTTTGGGCTGTGAATCCCTGTCTTAAAAAGACACCTCAACTGCTCCCCAAGTCCAGGAGAGAGGTCTGATTCCTGGCCTGCCGCCTCCTTGGCAAGTCCTGTTCACTGGTCTAGGTGCTGTGAATCCCAGTGCCAGAGGCCCATTTCTTCCCATTTAAGGCATAAGTGACTTAGGCAGCTGGCCTAAGTCCCTTTCTGGCACCTTTAAGACGCTGCTCCTTCCTTGTCCTGTAAACGCCCAAGGAAATGCAGAGAGGGCACCTCGCACCTTGCAATGGGAGCTGGGACCCTGGCACTCTCTTAGTCCTGGCTGTTATCACTGGGGCCAATGTATAAATCTAGGATAACTATCAGCAAGAGAAGTCAGGCATTGGTAGTGCTCCAAGGATCTTTTGCTAGCTAAGAGCAACAACACCCTTGGCAGATAACTGGCACATTTACCATACAATCAGCTCCCTTCTTCCTTTCCACCCTCCTGGGTGATAAACTGGGAGATGGGTCCATGATGAGAACTTTTCCTTTACCAACTTCGCTACAGAACTAAATGTTTGGAGACTGCAGCCAGCGGCTCCCACTCCCCGCTCAGCTCCAGAAAAGTCTTGTGCTTTGCAGTACATTTTCCCAGCATAAGCACTGGGATTTCCATCCTTCCCTGCAGAAAACTGTTTAATGGCTACAGCCTGGTTCCTGATATTAAGGCTTCTTTATCTCTTAAGTTGAGGTGCTCAATAAATGGGCCCCTTTCTTGAACGCTCAGGGCATCTCCATTCCACGCTGAGGGCATCACTTCTCTGGGGCAGATCTCCTTTAATGCCTTGTGTTGGTTGGCATAGCAGCTTTCTTCCTGGTTATACACAGCATAAATTCCCCATGAGGCCAGTTTTACACATGAGCTCCCACAGTGAGTGGTTACACCCTGCTGAAGACCGGGCACCTTGCCTTCCTCCGCTAGCAATTCCAGAGGGAGCACATCTGGAGCTCTAGGACTTCCCGCTTTCTCGAAGGGCCCACCGCTGCAGGGCGGAGGTCAGTGCACTAGTCACGTCCCCCTAGATCTGCCTAAATAAGTCTCCTTAGCCTTTGGTGGGTGGATCTCTCAAGTACTTCATCGCCGGCTGATTAAGTATCGGACAAAGCTGTGTTAACTTCACTTCTCAGTGTTGCTAATAACCTGTGTCGCTGGTTTAACATTAGTTTGGCCACGTGCATTCATCTAACATACTGGTAGTGTGTGTACATCACAGCTCTGACTGACCCGGGGCCCGCTCTGTGCTCTTCAACACCCTGCATTGGGTTCACCTGGCATCTAACACCATAGACCAAACGCTGCCCTGACCACGAGCTTGCTTCTGCTCTGTACAGTGAATGAGCCATAACTCTAATGTACCTCTGGTTGTTTGTTTTTTCCTTTCTAAGCTAAAATCATCAGTTCTTCACCAAAGACCCATGTCCCCTCGAGGGCTTTTCCTATGGAGTCTGCTACCCCAAGTCTGGCCAATAACCTGAACAGCACAGTCTCTGCACTGGAGAGCAAACCGATGCATTTAAAAACGAAGGATGGTGAGTACAGCCCCCTTTCCTCCTGACCACATTGGGTAGGACAGCACAGGTAGTGCTAGTGGGGTGACACAGGGCAATGGCACAGCAGGGTCCCTTAGGTATGGGCCACACGTGCTTTTAGGTGTCTTAGCTCCCATTGGCATTAGTGGGATGGGGCCCCTGTGTTGTGGGGCTCATCCTTGCACGGTGTAGCTGTTGGATGGCGCAGTGAGATTTTTTCCCCAGTGATGCTGCAGTCAGTGCTAGAGGTGCATAGGCTCTGTGGATGGGCACTGGTCCTCCTGAATTGCCTGCCAGGGCCCTCTTGCTCTTCCCACCAAAGTCCCTTGCAATTTAACTGCAGCCGTATGAAGTCAGGTCAAAGTAAAGTATGACGTTCCTTCCCCTTCCACAGCACAGGCCACTAATTTGAGTATCTCTGCTCCTTCCCTCATAGAGGGGCACAGAGGGAAGCAGCACGGCCACCGAGGGAAAGCGGCTGGACCTCGGCAAGGAGGTACGTGCAAGCGACCAGCGAGCAAAGGACAAGGCCAGGTGGAAAGCTGGGGCCCAAGGAAGAGACCCCTTCTTATGATCGTGAGCCTGGGAGTCAGTGGGGGAGTGCTGAACGCCGTCCACCCTGGGAGCCTGCTGGTACCCAACAGCGATTTCCCCCTTCCCTCCAACCCCGTGTCCAGAACGAGGGGTCCTGCATCAGGGAATTAGGCTTATTCATTACCCCGAACAAAACGGGAAAGCTTCCAGGAGGGTTTCCAAGCAGACTATCCCCAAGTAGTGAAATCCTCTCCCCCAGCTCTACACCCCTTTTAGATAACAAAGCTAAAATCAAGGTACATCTCTTGAAAAACAATTGCACAGCAAAGGGAAGAGGCGTGGAAAACCTGTCTGATTGCATGACTTGTTGCTGTTTCAGGCACCAACTGGAAGACGGCCATGCTGGTCCTCAGCCCCTTAGCTTTTATACTGGGGCTAATTATACTGATGCTGAACGTCCATTATAACAAGTGAGTTGGACCAAGAGCCTACTTATCCCTTGCATCATTTTTTTCATAGCTGCATAATGTAAAGGCCTGAAGGCCATGCCTGTATTAGCATGCTAGTAGCCACGCTCTCCCGAACTGTGCTGCTAATTCACCTCCAGCCTGTCTGCTGCTGCTTCTTGCTGTAGGGTAGGGGCATGTGAGAAAAACAGGAGACACGCAACGGGCAGACTGAGTCCAGTAAGTCAGGAACAGGATACGCATACAGGGTCCTTCTCAATCACACCCATCACTTGTCTCTCCTGTTGTGTTATCTAATTCTGAGCAGTGGCATCAGGATTTCATAGACATTAGGGGCAGGAAGGGACCTCATGAGATCATCGAGTCCAGCCTCCAGATTGGGGTGCAGCAATGCAGGGTGGGGGGCTTCCTGTACTGCACTTGCAGTGCTCTGGGGAGGACTGAATGCACCACTGCGGTAAGCCGTCTACGAAGATTGACCTTGAACAGCTTCCAGAGATGAGCTTGCCTCTCACCAGGAGGCAAAGCAAGGGTTGGCTATTATGGCTGGTTGATGAGTTCGGGTTAATTGTTGGGCCACGGCAGTGCCGTAGAGACATCAGACAGCTGCGATGAATTAATCTCTGGTGAAGTGCACTGTCTACCTTAGAAATAAATACAATTCTTGGTGACAGAACTGACACGTGGCGCCATTGTTTCTGATTCAATAGGAAGAAGAAGATCCTCAACGCATTGAAGCCCTACCCAGAGGACAGCAGTACAGCGGACTCAAAAGAGCGATCTTCATGTTTGGGGCCAGCAGGCACACGGCAGTACGATGTTCCAGCCTCTCGCTCCCCTTCCTTGAGGCATGGGGAGATCCTGATCGAGTGGAAGGATGGGACCGTCACTCCTCTTTTTGACCATGCCAAATATCAAATAGATTAACTGAAATAATGGAGCCAACAACGATGCCCTCCAATAAGAAATTCCCACTGGGAATAATTCATCCTTTAGTGAATTGTCTCAATAGCTTAAAGGTTTTGATAGGAAACAGTTAAAAAAAACACCCTGTTTTGAACACTTGGAGAACCATCACAACATGGCACAAAGCTGTAGCAAGCAGAGCAGACTGTGCTGCTGCTTTAGATGCACGCTGCTTAGGTTATCCAAGGGTTCACATTTAATCTGCAAAGAGACCTAGAGGCAATGAAAATGAACCCAAGTGTCTTGCTAGGAGCCACTGCCCTGAGCCTTCCTTCAGGGTCTAGCGCCACTGATCCCACAAGCACATTTTTCCTCCAAACCAGCCATAATGGTGAAAAAGCAAATCCTAGCAGGCTTTGATTTTGCTTATAAGTGCTAAACTGGATCCCCTGTCCTGTTTAAGGGCACTAAATTTCCTATTCCTCGGCTGGCAGCCTCAGTCCTTATCTTTGATCTCCTGCAGCTATGCAGAGGGCTCAATGAATGTGCACTGCTTGTACATAAACAGGTGTAGGATATGATACACTCAGTTTTGGAGGAAGGGGATCCTCCACTTCCCCTCTCTACTTCCCCTCTCATTATCATTCATTATACTTAATCTTGACCCTTGTTCAATGGAATTAGCAGGGTTTTAGTTCCCTTCTAGCATCTACAGATGTACACTGATGTGTCCTTTCCTTTCTCCTTTGACGCCATGTCAGCATGAAGCGTCCTGTGGAGCACATCAGGGGTATAAACGCTGGCAGACGAGAGGTTCCAGTAAGTCATGTCAATTTATTGTTCAGCAGCATCAAAAGGATTATTTCCTCACTCAGACTTGGATGCCACTTTTCACTTTGCCTGGGAAATGTTATTACGGGGCCTTTGTGTTGCTTGGATTGACTGTTCTGCAGCTTGATTCACTCAGGCTGTCTCATAAGACGTGAACAAAGGGACACTGGAAGGTAAAACTATCAAACGGATATTTCTTACGTATAACTCGTTATTAGCAGGTGAAACTCATTGCCACAAGGTATCACTGCAGCCAGTACCTTAATAGGACTCAGGAACATGTTAAACATCAAAAAATAAAATAGAAATCAGAACCCTTCCAGTTCAGGGCATAGGATTGGAAGGGGAAACAAACATTTGCTTGGAGCAGATTATTCCATACTTATGTACTACAAGGGTTTGTACACCTTCCGATGAAGCGTCTAGCATTGAGAGCTAGGATACTGGGTCAGACTGCTGATCAGGCAGGAGCTGTGTTTCTAAAGGAGGGTTTCCTTGTCGCTGACCCATGGGTACAAGCTGGCATTCAGATTTCAACCAGAACGCTCAACCTTTGAAAAAACTTCTGCCGAGACATGTGCTGGGATGCAACATTTAGCACCTATTTTAGAGTCAAGCTGTCAAGTGTCCGAGCATCAGGTCCCCCACAAGATCAGTGAGGACACTGGTTACGTGCACAGATCCGAGGCAATTGCGTGTGCCCACGCTGAGGCCTGTGTGAGTGCACCTCAGATGCCTGCACGTGAAAGCCGGGCCCTGGATGCACAACATTAACTTGCAATTCTATAGCCCTTTTCATCCCCCCCAAATCCTCATGCAGTTAATGAATGCACAAATTCAGTGCCATTCAAATGCAGATATCCACTTTGGGTTCAGCTAATACAGTGCTTTCTGTGTTGGCCACTGTCTGCTCATTACGGCTGACTGGGTAGAATGGATTACTTGATAATGGCTCTGTATCCTTGCTTAGAGTCTTGCCTGTACACGCGAACAAAGCAATACTATTGTTTACATAGCACTGATTAAATGGTAGCTGAGAATAATAATGACAAAATATGACTGTGAAGCAGCACAAGTTTGTAGGTAGATTCTCGCTTTTATTGGTTGACTAGTTTAATCTTTCTCTCTGTTTTATTGTTCCAAATGTTACTAATGCAGTCTTTGTCCACCACTCCCTGTCAATACCCCAATGCAAGTGGTTTTGAACACTGTGCATAATAAAACCGACGCTAAACAAAAATATGGAGTTGCTGAAATTATTTCCTTTTCCAGAGACACAGCGCACTACTGTATGCTGCAGATGTAATTGTGTTTCTGGCCTCTGATGTTCTGGCTATTGTGTGTAAGAGTGTAACGCAGCATTGACTTCTACCGTGTGGAACGACAGACCAGTTTCAAATGAAATGACCACGTTGCCTGTTAGTGTCTCTAGCCCGCAGGGGAGTATAATACTATTATAGCAGAGAGATTCCACATTGGTGAAAGCAGGATGCCCTGGGCTCAGGGTAGACCAAGAAGCCCAGATCAGCATATGATACCAGGAAGGCATTCAAAGTGACAGGACCCAAACAAGATGCAACAAAAAAAGTGGAAGGGGGAGCTAGAAATTCAGATTATGCACCTCTCTAACATCCTCCACCCCAGCCTCCCAAAGCACTTTACAAAATTAAACCTGTGACAGTAAGGAAACAAACCCATGCTGCAGGCAAGGAAAGGGTGAAGCAATTGAGCCAAGTTACTGCAGGAGGAGCTGGAAAAAGAGCCCAGGGCTTAGCCCACTGTGTGTTGTACACAAAACTTGACATTCAAGTTTTGCAATTTGTGTTTTATTATGACAGGTCTCCATATGTTTGTTTTTCACATCACTCTGGCATCGCATTTCACAGGTCCCAATGGCAACCATGCAGGAGATCACATGTCTGGTTTTCTAAGGAAGTCTGAGGTTGCTCAACACTTCTGCAGACTTGCCCGGCAAGGTCCATGGTCCATGTCAGGCTTTAAACTCAGACATCTCTGCTCCTTGTTACAACTACACCTTCTGCCTCTCTGCACGAGCTAGAGGACACAAGAGCACAAGCTCCAGAATAACTCAGATTAAGTCAATCAAATTCACTTTGAGGAAAACTGTGTTTCTGGAAAGCCCAACTTTATTCTCGGTTAAACCAGCCCCAGCTCTCCTGCAAGATCCCCTTCTTCCTTCATGCAAGCTTTTAAGCCTTCGAAGAGAGAAACTGCTGTGCATCTCTAAGCACTGCCTGCATGTCCTTGTACTGAGCGAGCTTGCAGGCTTCCTCCAGGTTCAGCCAGCGGAAATCCTGGTGCTCATCCGAGAGCTTGATCTCCATGTTGTGGTCCTTTATTTCTGCCAGCCAGTAGATAACGGTTTTGGGCTTGCCCCTGACGGCATACTGCAGCTCTTTCTTAAATCCTTCGACGAGAGTGATCTGCCTGGAATCAAGTCCGGCCTCTTCTTGCGTCTCCCGCAGGGCTGTCTCCAGATCATCTTCCCCTGGGTCCACGTGGCCTGCAAAGGGGATGACAAAATACGGCTCTGAGAAGAGAACCGGATGCTCAGACCTTGTTCCTTCAACTGGCAATGACGAAACCCACGTGCTGCAGCTGCCTTGCCGCAAACAACAGCCCGCACGCCCTAGCGTCTCATCCGGGACCATAGGCTGCCTTTGAATATTTCAAACCCTTTCAAGTTCTGTCCTAAATGCTCCTCTCCTTTCTGCCCTTGGCTGTCAGGCTTGCCTCTCATGTCCTGACGTTGCCAGATTACCCCCTGGTGTCCTATAAGATGACACTCTCCTCCTACTCCTCTCCAGCTCTGTTTCCACTGAAATCTTCCATTTTATTCTAATATGGTAACTGTATTTTTGGCTAAGGAACTGCAGGACTCATCAATGTTATTCTCTAATCAAACCAACGCCTCTGCTGAGCAACAGCTGTTCTCCTTCAGCTTCTCCCAAGCAGCTTAAGAGCCTGATTTTGCAAACCTCTGGCTCAAGTGAGTAGTCCCAAAGTCCACGGTGCTGCTGACCCGGACACAGGCTACTCCACAAACAGGGAGTGCACACAGGCTCTCAGAGACAGGGCAAGGAAATCAGGCCTGAGGCTCAAGTGCAGCACAGTTTTCAGCACTGTTTTCTATCCAAACAATTAAATCTGCCCCATGGGGGATAAAGCCAGGAGTTCCTCGCTGCTCAGAAGCACCTCGCACAGTGAGAAACCCAGAGGGAGCTACTTCACACACTGGCAAAAAAGAAAAACTGAATCAACATGCGACAAATAAAAAAAGAATTAATGATATTAGTGGAGCTGGGAGCTGTTGAGGAGTTGCTATGCTTCTCCTCTACAGCTTTGGAGGTGGATCATTTCAGTGGTGCATCGTGTGACTATGGTATAGCTAACCTACATGAAAATAGAGACACACAAGCGCAGCTTCAAGGGCATCTCAGAAGCAGGAGAGCCAGGCCCGAAGAAAATGTTGATTTTCAATCATTTAGTAATGATTCTGAAGTGCTGGCAGGTGCATCTGGATGCAAGCTACTATGCAGTGGTACAAGGAGCAATTAAATGAGATCAGGATCACTGCAGGGCTCTTTAATCAGGTGCATGGGCTGGGATGTGTAGCAAGCTCGGGTGGGGTTATTTCTCTTCCTTGCCAAAGTACAGCAGTGTTGCTATTCTGGTTGTCTCCCTTCCCTTCATATTCCTCAGGAGGAAAGAAACCCTTACCAACCAGGGATAAATATAACATCTGCCCAAGTTGTTTTTACTTTCCCTGAGAAAGGCCAAATTTAGATTTCTCACGAAAACACGAGACATGAACACAAACAGACCAAACAGAGACAGGTCTCGAAAAAGCCCTGGTGCAGAGAGTCCATAAAAAAACCAAACAGGCCTAATTCATCCTTGATGTAACTCTATCGATTTCCGAAGATGTATTTGTGATGGACCACAATCTCCGGATGGCTATGCTAGAGATTAATTTGGCTCGCAAGCACTTGAAGGCACCTGCGCTTGTAAAACTGGGAGGAATGGAAAGCCTGTGTTTTCCCACAAATGGATCTCACTCGCTTTTCATAGTTTCATAGTTTCATAGTTTTAGGGTCGGAAGGGACCTAATAGATCTTCTAGCCCGACCCCCCTCCAGGGTGGGAGAACAACAAAGATAGAAGATCTATCTTTTCTGTCGATCAGGAGTCGGCACGTCTTATGCTCCTTACATCCTGGGGTCACTTCAGTGAAAAAGCCTGGTTCCATATGAAAAAAGTACTCTAAAACAATAAGCCCCCTAGTTTACACATTTAGGTCTCAGTGACTTGAGATCATGTGTTCAGCAAATACGTACAAAGACTTTTCCTCCAGTTCTCAGCACCCCAAGTCACAGTGCATTTTTATTTCTGATGGCACCAGTGGGAATACTTCTGCACCTAGAACTCAGGTACCAACGACTCTCATTCATGCTGTTGCTCAGTCTTGCATGGCTGCATTGACTGCGGTGCAAAAGATAACTACCAAACACTTGACAATGGCTAGGCTGCTGACGGCTAGAGAAAGCAATGCTAAACAGCACCAGTGGTCCCAGGTGTGGGGTGCAAGCCCAGTACAAACTAGAAGTAAAAAAGAACCGATCACCAAGGTTTGGTTCTTGTCTCAAGGGCAAGATCAAGCTCTTGGTCACTTGGAGGAGTCACTTCACCCCCTTGTTGTTAACTGCAAATCTAGGATCTGAAAGGGAACCCACCAGGCTTCCAAGCCTGTGCGGTTGATGCCTAGACAGCAGATGTCCTTAAAAGAGAGGTGATGGTCAATGTATCAGCCAGCTCCTTTAAGTGTTTCTTACCTCAGATCAGCATCATCTCAGTTTCCTAGGTTTAGAGGGACTCTGCTGCTTCCTATCATTTTAGCAAAGCTCACATCTGATCCCTAAAGGGAGTGTCAGCAATGGACGGACCAGGCAAGATGCTCTTCCACTGATATTCTCCAAACCAGCGCAGCTGATGCAATGATCTTGACTGCCCCGTAGGACAACCCAGTGGAAGCATACGGAAAAAGCTGCGTTAGACAGAGTAGCATTCTCTGGAATGAAAATATTTCTGTCGCCCCTTTCAGCCTTTCTTTGGACCCAACTACAGCACAGAGATGGCTCCAGTGTTCTCCAATCCATGCTCAGAGACTGATGGCTTTTTCTCTGCCTGCAGCTCTCAGTACTGATGACCCCAGCATGTCTGTGGACAATCCCTCCAGAGCTAAGAATCATACGTAAGTAACTGCTGTTTCTTCCCAACTCCCAGCCTGGTACAGAAAGGATGACCCTGCCTTTCCCCAGAGGCTCAGATCTGTCACCCTTCCTAGCAGGCATGCATAACAGGCTGCTGTAGGAGAGACCGTAGCAAAAGCATTACTTTTGCATTACACTGCTGTTTCACGCACTGATGATAAGCTTCAGCAACCTGCCCTCTGAGTCAGTGAGAGTAAGAAACCCTGCAGCTCCCTGCTCTTCACTGACTCCCCATCTGACACCAGCGCAGAGCAATGGGCTGTGGATGACAGTCCGCTCGACATCTCTCTTTCAGCAGTCAGCTGTTGAGATGTCACAGGTTTAGACACCCACACCAAAGGCCATGGAGTTGATGGTGATGGGTTAGGATAGCACCCTTAGGGCACAGACTGGAGCTCTGCTCACCTTTTGGTACCAGAAAGCACAGTTTGAGCGAAGGGGGATGGGCACTTCATAAATTATTCTGAAAAGATGGAACAGCAGCTCTGGTTGAAAGTGCTTTTTCCACCCACATCCCACTGGCAGAGTAGTTTTGAGTTTTTCTTTCAAATCTGGGCCTTGCCATGTTTTCCATGTTGACATTAGCTGAAGATTATATTGTACCAGAGGCTCTACTAGGGGCTACATTCAAGGACCACTCAGAAACTGCAGCTAGTGCAGAAGGCAAGCCACAGCTCATTCAATTCATAGTCAGTCTAGAAGCTGCAGTGGTTCCCAGTTTATCACCAGATACTCTTAAAGGTTGCTGTGGGTTTCTAGACCACTTAAATGGTAGTCAATGGCACACTCTGGCATTGCCCTTTGGAAGCGGCAGAAGCAAGGATGCAGGGACTTCCTTATTTTCCTGGTGTACCAGGCTGGGAGTTGGGAGTTCCCAACTCCCTTATTTTCCTGAATTGAATGTTGTGTTCACAGGGGGAGGGATAGTATTTGTGGGATAATCACAGCCCCTCTGTGGAACAAGGGCTGTGGGACTGGGATGAATATTAGGACAGTAGAGGAGGTTCCCCTGGATGAGAGACAGGGCAGTGGCAGTGGGGAGAGGTTTTCTATACCCAGATATGAATAGGGGTTAGAAAGGTTGGGAGCATAGTTGGGATGGACCGGAGGGTTTGCTGTGCTGGGTGAAAGTCACGGAAGTGGAAGCGCCATTTGGGGATGCGTTATATAACATCTTGAGGTTATTCTGTCTTTTAATGTAAGCCACTCAGCCTTTTTGGGGAGGGTGGCATGCAAGTCTAATGAACAAATAAGTGGTGCAGCCCTGGTTATCTGTTGTGCCCTCTCCCTTTGTGACACCATGGCAGTGTGGGACAGCCAGGATGCTTGTTGCTGATGTCAGGGGATCCTCAGTGAGAACCATCCACCAAGGACCGCTCTTCTCAGTGGAGTATCACATCACAGTCCAAATTGCCTGATACCCCCGCACACTGATCATTCACTTACCTAGACTTCAGGCTAAGAGGATATGGGGAGGTGCAGGAGGGCGGTTGCTACCTTTAATGGGGAGTCAGAGATGGGAGTTACTTGCTGACCTTGTGCCAGTTTGCATATTCCTATTTAAGTATTGCAAAGATGCTTCAAGACTGCGTAGATCACTTCAAAAAAGCTATATAGATGCAGTCAGCATGTGTGACATTGTGGCTCATTGTCTTGGGTACCCAAGAGGATTTCAGAGGATAAAAAGAATCTGAATTAAAATTTATTTCTGTGCTGAAATATCCTAACATCCTGGGCCAGTGGGCCCCCAAACACAGGTGTGCTCTGCCATTCACTTTCAGAGACAAGCCTCTGTACTGGGTCTCAGGGCATTGCCTGGGCTTGCCTTGCATTTAGTTACACACAATCTACTTGCCATAGCACACCGGCTACCGCAAACCCTGACCTGGCAACTAGCAAAACTCCACTGCAGTCAGATGTGTGTAATGATGCACCTGTGATCCTAGTGTACTTAACTGATTCAGCTGCCCTATATGATTAATAGCCAACAGACTAGATGTCTTCACACCGTGTCTGCTTCTTCAGTACAGTAAACAGCAGAGTAAGCTGCTTTGTGCTAGCAGGACAAACGTCACCTTTTGGTGGGGTCCAGTGGTGAGTCCCATACGATGTCTGCAGAAGGAGGTATTCAATGTTGTTGCCAACTTTAGAAGAAGGGCATCCTGGCTGTAGCCTCCTGTAGATTATCAAGCCACATGCCCTCAGAGCCATGCTCCTCCTGTGAACTGTAATGAGAAATAAATGAGTGCAAAGAATGAGAGCGCTCCAAACATGAGTGACAATACTGTACCTTGGGTTTAAACAGAGTCAAGATATACTCTGGAAATTCATTTTCAGTATGGACATCTATCTGCATCAGTGGTTATTAGACAGTTAATTTCCCTTCTTGCTAGGGAAAAATCTATCCTCTCTCTCCAAAAATAGGAAGCCGGTTACTACATGAAAATCAGATATAAAAACCCAGCAACTCACTGTCAACATGTCAGATCTTTCAGTGTGACATTTTGAAGCCAAGATATCAATAAACCACATAGGATGTTGGAAAAGAACAGATAGGAAATGGAAAATCAGTGACTAATGCACCGTGTCTCTAAAGTTCAAAGACTCTCCAAGCCCTGTACAAATATTACATTCCTAGGAAACAGTGCTGTATTCGACCACACATTTTCCAGAGGTGGTGCAACATGGCAAGTCAGGGGAAAAACCTCCCCCCAGAGGCCAAAATCTTTGTTCCCTGCCCCAGCTGCTAGCCTGTAAGCCCTGTTTGTAGGCCCAAGAAAAGTTGAAGCTATAGTGTGATGCACAGTGTTAGGTGACACACCTCTGTGACAATGATGACCGTTGAGCAGCACCATGTATAATAAAGATCCTCTAGGTAACCATTATTTTGATACAGTAAAGAATGGGAAATGCAAGAAGCAGGATGCAGTGGAGAATATACATCAGGAACGGTGTTAACTCCCTTTCCTAACCAATTATTTACATGTTGGTAGATCCTTCCATATGTCAATAAAGAATAGGCTTATATCGCACTTTTCAGGCATGGATCACGCAGTAGCACTCAAAGTTAATCCTCCACTTTGCAGATGGCGAAACTGAGGTGCAGAGGCAGAAAATAACTTGTTCAGAAATGCTGTGACAAATTCTGGGTTAGTCCTGCTTTGCTGACTTACCCCTATCAAAGCTGCTTCCCTGCCACTTAGATGTTGTCAGCATGTTACAAGGTAGGCCAATGTTGACACCTGTGGCTAAGTTCCCTGTAGTTTGAGTTACGAAAGTTACGGAGATTAGTAGTTAATTTTAGACAGAATTAACTCCTGGGGTATGAAACTGCCTGTTCAGACCTGTGGCAATGCAAACCAGTTATATGGGGAATTAGCACCATCTCCTGTACAGGCCTAGAAATGCAACATTCAAGAGCACGGAAGCCAGAAGAAAAGCCTCCAAGTGTTTTCAGCTGCAATAGTAGGTTTAATGACAAGCACATATGCCCAACTGTGATTTGTTCCCAGATACAGCCCCAGCTGCAGGAGACACATGAGCCAGCTGAGTAGGAGTGAATACTGCCAGACATTCAAGTGTCCTGCTATTAACTGGGTCAATCTTAAGATTAATTAATCTACCCAGGGTCTCAGCCCTTTGAACCTGATGTATCTGAACTCGTGGGTAGTAATGCGGAGAAAGCACCATTATGAGCAGCGGTTGCACCTGTGCTACGCAAACCAGACTAGAGAGTTTTACCCGACAATTCCTGCATCAATCCCTGGTGAATCTCAAGGCTCCTCCCCACACTTTGCAAGGTCAGTTTAACAGGACATCTCTTCAACCTCCGAAGAGCCTCTCTCCACTCCTTTAGTCCTTGCCAAGCCAGAAGGGCCCGGTGCATGATGAGTGAAGCTGATGATCATACTTCACACTTCAAGAAGTCTCCTCCACTGCAGACATTAATTATTTCCTCTGCTTCTTGCTAGGGGAAAAAAAAAAAATCTATCCTCTTTCCCAGGAAGCCAGTTACTATGTAAAAATCAGACACAAAAACCCAACAACTCATTGTCAACATTTTACATCTTTAAGTATGACATTTTGAAGCTGAGATATCAATAAACCATACATAATGTTGGAAGAGAACAGATAAGTGGAAAATCAATGATTAATAGGGTGCTTCTAAAGCTTAAACTCTCCAAGGCCCATTTATTCCCCGCCCCCATTTATGAAGAATATTATCCCCATTTAACAAACTGGGGATCAGATGCTCTGCTCCATGGGCTTCAGCTGTCTTTATCCTCTCCAGGGTCTCAAGCAACTATTATAACAAGAAGAAAGCTCCTGCCTGGAACAGCCTCAAGCCTCCAGTCCCACAAAGTGCCCACTTGCTGCTGGCATACCGTCTTGAACCTAGGAGGTGGCAATAGAGACTACAGCTGGGTCAGCAGAGCCCCCTGGAAGAATGCAGTGTGTCCAAGTGTTGAACTTGTTTGCTACTGGCCTGGCTACCTCACCTCTGAAATGATGGAAGCAAAGTCAAGAAAAGGCCTGTTTTGTCAGCCTCGCCGCATCCATGGGAATGGGCTTCCAAGGGAGGTGGTGCTCGCCCCTACCTTGGGGGTCTTCAAGAGGAGACTGGACAAGCACCTGGCTGGAGTCACTCTTTCCTGCCCAGGGCAGGGGGTCAGACTTGATAACCTACTGAGGTCCCTTGCAACCTTAGGATCTATGAATCTAGGATTTTGAAAAGACGGGTGCAGATAGTGTGGTGCATCATCCCATATAGCACAGTGCATATTTTTCTCCACGTAAAAAGACACTAGATGCTTTACCCTAGGGACCTAGAACAGTATATAAGAAAATATGTTTGGACAGTATGACCTATATATGACCATGTTACCCCATTAGTACAAAAATAACTGTTACTGCAGCTCACTAATGTAGGCTTAACTCCTTGGTGTCAACAGTGAATATTGTGCAGGGGACTCCAATCCCAATGCAAAAATTAATACTAATGAAACAACCCTAACGGCTCCATCTTTTTACCATGGTATCTCTCTCTGCCATTTTATTAACCCTGTTTTTGTGCACTCGACAGTGTGCTAACCTGCTTTTCTCTTTTGTAAGCATTTTGCATTATTGGGCTTTATTACCTGCCTTGCGTTGTATACAAGAGCCATTTCCATTGTACATTTTATACTTTTATACCTTAACTTTTGGGTAGCCAGATTCTGAACTGGATTGTCAGAACAGTGCATGCGTTTCTAGGCTTTTTTTCTTTAAAATTATAAAATTATAGAGGACTAGGGCTGGAAGAGACTCACAGAGAGGACTAGGTCAGCAGTGATGAGAAGCTGTTACCTCTGGGGGTTGTCCAGGCCTAGGTGCAGGGACCTGGTGGCTCCCCCACTGCAGGGGAAAGTAGAGGTGAGGTGCACCAATACATCGGTTCATATCGTATCAGCACTGATGAAAGGAAAACTGACATTATCGGCAATCGGCTTTTTTTGGCTGATGTGGCCTATAATGCCACTGAGAAATGCCACGTGCATGCGTGCAGCCGCAGCAATCATGCAGCCAGCCTGGCAGCTTGGAGAGCAGCGTCCAGCTGGTAAGTCTATTGGGGTGAAGGGGTGGAGGGGAGAGAAGGGGCGTGTGGGGGAAGATCGAAGCTCCCACAATGAGGGATGGGGTTGGGGTGGGGTGTGGGTCAGAGCTGCAAGCGGCTCATCCGGGGACCATGGGGAGGGGGGGGGCAATTGGATTGGTATCGGCTGATATGGTTCATTAATAATTGCCCATCAGTATTGGCCCAAAAAATCTTTATTAACGCGCCCCTAGGATCACCCCTATCCAAGTCATCCCAGACGCATCCATAATCTAAACTCGATGTAAACTATGGTCAACCTTGACAACCATAGTGTCAAAGCAAAACCAAATATAACTCCAGGGCTGTGAACCAGGGACCTACATGACCAGGAGCAGCGAACAACAGCAGCAGTGCAGAACAAAAGATAGCTTGCTTAGTGGAACATGAAGACCATTAAAAAAAGAGAGCAGGTCGTTAACACCTGTGGAACGAAGAGTTTAAAAGGATCGGGTAGATTTTAAGGAGCCATGACGTCAATGGCTTCCTGAACAGAAATGTTGCTGCCATTTCCAGGCAGCTGGTTTTAAACACTGGGTGGAGCAGGAATCAAATGGGGGTGCAAGTGCATCAGGGCACCTGCCTAGATCCGTCTCAGCTGCGTCCACACTAGAGGTTTTGCTGGCAGAGCTAAGAAACAGGGTCTTTGCAGTGCTGGTGGGCAATACAAGCTGCAGCAACGGAGATCGAAGGTTGGATATTAGGAAAAACTTTCTCACTGTGAAGCACTGAAACGGGCTCCCCAGAGAGGTGGTGAAATCTCCATGCTTGGAGGTGGTGAAGACCCGGGTAGACAAAGCCGTGGCTGGGATGATGTAGTTGGGGCTGGTCCTGCTTGGAGCAGGTTGGACTAGATGCGCCAGTCCTCGCTGTCTACGCGTCCGGGGCGGATCCAAGGGGGTGCCCTGCTCGGTGCACTCCCCCCGACCCCCTTTTATTCCAGTTCCACCCAATGCTGAAAACAGGCGGCGGCAGCATCATTTCGGTCCAGGCGGCGCCGAGGAAGCCCCTCGACTTCCCGGCTCGTCGCCGATCCCTGCTAAACTCTTCGCTCTGCAGGCGTTAACGACCCTTGCTACTTCCCAAGGGTCTCGTCACGGTGCCGCCCAAGCTGGCCTGCGCTCCACCGCCCGGTCACTGCTCCTGCATCCCGGGCGCGACTCGTTGCAATGACAGCCTCTCTGGTTTTGCTTCGACCGAATCCTCCGGGCCCCCGTCAGCATCCTCTAGCTGCTACCTGAGAATGCCAGGAGCTGTTCCTCTGCCTCTGAACCCCCTCCTCCCAATCCCACCCCCACTCTGCTGTGGGGACCCCCCCTTTCTGCTCCAGCTCCCAGGCCTGGGCTGCGCACACCAGCGCTAGGACCCAGGGGCGCCCCCACACCCCTGCTCACCTGTCTCCTCGGCTCTTCCGGGCGCAGCGCAGGAGGCGTGTCCGGCCGGGCCGACTGACACCCGCCTCAGCCAATCGTAGACCCGCGATGCTTCAGCTTCCGATTGGTCCGCGGGAAGGGGGCAAGCCCCGCCTCCTCTCCTCCTCCTCCTCTCTGTTTCCGGCGCGACTTTGGGCGGGAGCGTTCGAATGCGGCGGCGGCGTTGCCATGGGGACGCGGCCTAGCGCCCGGCGCGGAGCCTGCGTGGAGTGAGGGCCCGGGCGGGCCGCGCGGTCGCGGTGAGTGGCTGCGAGGAGCCGCGGGGCCCGAGGGCGAAGGTGGGGTGAGGGTGGTGTTGCCATGGAGACCGCGCCCCCCGCATTGGCTGTCTGGGGGCCCGTTGTCATGGAGACGGGGGACTCTGCTGCATCCCTGCCCGGGATGGGGATGGGGATGGAGGGCTGCGCAGGCTCAGACTTCCCTGGGGCAGGACAGGGTGTATTTCCCCACTGGTGAGACTGGTGTAAACTGGGGGGTCGGGGTTTGGATGATCCTGCCTCAGGATTTTCCCGGTGGGACGCAAGCAATGGACGAGCAGCAAGCGCTCAGGTGATCGAGTGAGTCCGGGCAGGGGGTCAGACTCAATGATCCTTGGAGGTCCCTTCCGACCCCAACATCCATGACTCCGAGGGTGGTCACGCCTCGGAAAAACAGTGACATTTCCATCCTTGGAAACTTTCAAGAGCAGGTTGGACAGACAAGTTGAGGCAGGGAGATGCCCAGATGAGATGCAAAGTGCGTCCCAGCCCTACTTTCTTATGATCCTATGATTTCTCTGCCTTTGAACTCCTTCTAAATCGCGTGCCGGCTCAGCTTTGCGTGCGACAGAACCACACGGACAAAAATACGAGTGTTTTTTGCCTCCGAGCAGCGCGCACATGGGCATGCCGATACACACCCAGGAATCACTGAAATGTAGCCTGTGCAAGGGAGAGGCCTGGCAGATGTTTCGGCAGGATGCCGTTAGCTTCGAGAGCGCGTTTCTAACAAATCTGCTGTTGTAGGAAGGAGGCCCCTGTGGTTCAGCGGTAGCATCACCGGAGACCTGGGTTCGTATTCCCAGACACACACAACTACAGCCATGGAGGCGCCAACCATCCGGGCTCTGTCTGGTCGTTGGATTCTGTCTCGGTGGCGTAACGGGGAGGACGGAAAGTCTGGGCAGCCTCCACTGCTCCAACAGTTCCTGCCCAGGCATATGTATGGGTGGCCTTCATGCATACACCGTGGTCCAGGAGGATCGACGGTTGCCACCACCTATTGTAGGAGCTCACTGACGAGTCCAGATTGATTCTGAATTTTTTTTCCCCCCGCTGAACTGGAAAATCGAAGCACGTGGTGAGCTGTATGGGCTTTCTTTAAGTTGAGGAAGCTAAATGCAGAGGAAGTTGGTTGCCAGGGGACAAGTCCAGTAAACACTCGTTAGGAGGCTGAAATTAAAACGACAAAGGCCCAAGGGTTTGCCTTTTAGGTGGTTACAAAATGAAACAAATGTTCAAAACCATTTGGCAGCATTGCCTTCAGGAAAGCCCAGGCACAATTTTCAAATAGTTAGCATCCTAATATAACCCGCAGATTATTTTTTCTTAGCGTGTGGTTGAATATTAGACATTTCCCGTCTCTGTGCAGCTGTTGCTTTAGACAGTTGTCGAGTATCAGCTGGAGGACAAAGTTTCTTTTGCCGAGGTCATTTTCCTATAATTAATATAAGAGAATGATTATAACAATTATCAGGCTTTTGCAAATTTAAAAAAAAAAAGTTTATTTGGGAAAAATGTCATTGTTGGGTTGCTTTTTTTGTTTAATCAGTTGCAGATTACAATGAAATTGTTGCGGCCCTTGTAACTTGATCCATGTGTGATTATCAATATATCGCTAACATGGGCATTAGAAAGCTCGATATAGTGGAAGAATAGAAATAGTTTTTCATTATTCAGGGGTAAAATAGTTATCGCATAACACTGAAGATATACTTTACTGGAATTTGTAGATAGTTGTCTGTTTTTTATTGTTTAGCTTTTTCTCCCTATGTCTTCAAAATGGGCTGGTATAATATTCGTTCCAGCAATCAAAAGAAATATATAATTTTATGGTCTACAAGTATACAGAAAATTATATGCTGTAACACTGCCTTGTAAATGTTTCCTCTGCAATTGTATATAACATGTTTAGAAAAATATATATTCATGGTACTCTTGTCTCATCTCCCCTATCCTATTCTTGTCTGTTTGCTATTTTCCCCCTACCTGTGACATTTGATCTCTAACTAAAATGATGAGTGTCTTCTGTGCACGGATTTTGTCTCAGTGCTCAGCACAATGGAGCCTGCCCTGGTGACAACTTCCTGTAATATAGATCAGGATTAAAATTGATAAAATAATAGGAAGGCACAAACGGTCAGAGAAAGTAAAGCACTTTGCAGAGTCACAGGACAGCAAACTTGCCCTTCATCTTTGAAGTCCCGAGTAAAATTTAGCCTTGGACTACAGTTCAACATGCTTGCGGTATTCATAGAAGTAATAGATGGAGACATCTATCAGATAATGTAGTCTGGCAATGCCCTTGTTCTCTGAGGCATATACAAGATTGTCTAATAAGACTGGTCTCACTTAGTCCTCTCTTAACGTGCCTCAGGAAATCACCTAGCACTTCAGCACCATTGGCAGTCTACACCTGCAAAAAGTTTGGGGCTGTACAGAAACTCGAGAAAGCTAAGACAAACCACTAAAGGTGTGTTAAAAACCTGTGTGGATGTTCTTTTTGCAGGAGAAAGATGGTCTTTGATTGTTCCAGACTCAGACACAGGTAAGCTACAAAGATCTAAGGCCATTTTGGTCTCCAATGAGCACTTTCAAATGGGGGTTAAATATGAGGCAGCTTGGGTGCTGTGACTTGACACCTTCAGTTAGTTTCCCTTGACTTTCCAGAGTGTCACTGTGAGAATGAACCTTTTCTCTGCATTATAAAGCTCATTGAAAGTAAAACATCTGTACAACAGCTAAATGATGATGATGAAGAGTAAAAATATTTTCAAATAAATCTCTGATTTTAGAGCTCAGTTTTGTGCCAAGGGGGTTCTGCAGCAGATTCTGTTGTTTCAAAATATACCAGTTCCATTGTTTTAGAGTATAAAAGACCCACCATTGATTTCTACTCTTGTTGCTTGGCTTTTCTCCCTCTGGTCCATCCTTTTCTGGAAAAAAAATCTAACACTAGGCAAAGGAGTTCTTTTCTGATGACAGCATATGATCTGATTCTGTGGTTTGATATAAAATTATAATATTTTCTTATATAGGTACTAATCAGCCACCTGTTCCAGGGAGTACTACAGATATACTGTTGCCTGAAATGGAGGCTCGTAGTATCAGAAAATGTGCAGCACTTTACCATAAGGTTTGAGTCTGGCTTATGACTATATTCTTGTAATGCTTCCTGAGTGTTTCACATATATTGGCACTGAAATGCAACCAGATAATCATCTGGCATGTCACACTTTTCATTGCATTGTATGCATGGTTCTGTATTAAATCTTAGCCAAGTACCCTGCAGCAAGTCCCTGCCCTAATATCAGTGTCAAGAAATTTTTAATCTTCGTGCATGGTAGATATTTTATGAACTTATCTGAAAGACCTCCGATATATATAGAAAATTGTGTGGCAGTCAGCTTGCCTTTCTTTTAAGACTAATGGTCTGAATCGTCACTAACCTAAAGATCCTACGCATTTTAAATTTAGAACCAATAATTATCCTAGAGCAGGTTGCCAGTGTATAATAACTGTGATGTTCTAGCAGACTCAATTGAATTCATTTTTTATTTAACAGACTTGCTTCTGCGTCTTTTGTTAAAGCGAGAGTGTCACTTTGCCTGAAAAGAATGTGAGACCTCAGCTGTTCAGGATGGAGCTGAACAGCTCTGGCGTGTCAGGACAGGAATGACATCCACTCTGAACTGCAGTGTCACACAGTGCCTGCTGTTGCTGCAAAGAACAAATTAAGGCAAATTGAGGGACAGATCACTCCCTGTACTTGATGATATTTGACCCTTGAAATGCGAGTCCACTTCAAACTCTGCTGGCATAAAAACAGCTCCTCTTTTCCCAAACACATTTCATATTCAAGTGTCTGAAAAGATCCTAGACTTAAGTCTCAAGTCTCTTAAACCCCTCCTGCTTCTAGTAAAGCCAATAAAGCAGGATGAATTTTGATATTAAAATATGGTGATTAAGAATGTTTAGTCTAGATTTTTGCATTACAGAACACAATCACCAGATGAGGATGAAAGAAAATTACTTGGATCCTGAGAATAGAAAATTAGAAACTCAGAGAAGTCCTCTCTTTTGCCAGCAGATGGCACTGGAATTAACAGTTTAGGATTTCTTGAAAGCCTTTCAATAGCTTGGCTTGCTTCTTTTAAGAAATAGAACAAAGCAGTTTTACTTGAAGAATTACATTTCAATTTGAAAAACAATATAAGTAGGGCTTTTTGCGCCTAAACAACTAGATGAATGAAAGTGCCCTGTTGGTGGGGTAGTTCATCTCTATCATCGACCATAAGGTCAGAAGGGACGGCTGCTCTCATCTCTTCTGACCTCCTACATAGGACTTCCCTGAATTCAGTGTTGTTTGACCTACAGCACGTCTTTGAGAAGAGCATCCAATCTTGTTTTAAAAATTGCCAGAATCCTCTGTGACCTTTGGTAAATTGTCCCGATGGTTAATTACCCTCATTGTCAAAACCGTGTGCCTCTCACTCCTCTCTTTCTTTGTGTAGTAGGGATTTTATTTTTTTATGTGTTTTGCTTCATTTCAGATACCATTGTGGATTGTTTTTAAATCTCTTATCACTCCTAGTCACATAATAAGTCTCTCAAGTTTCTCTTCTACTTTCCTGAAAACCGAGCTCTATTTTTTCATTTAGATATTGCAGCTACCGATAGTTCTTGCACTTTTGTTTCGGTGGATGTGCATGTGTGAGATTAAATATGATCTAGGGTACAATCCTGCATTGGGCCTCGGACAGTAAACAGAATGAAACCAGATAGATCTTTTCCATCTTGAACTTCTAATTCTTGTCATTTTGAGATGAAGTCCCAAGCTTTGTGTTCATGTCTTCCATTTACTCTTTCCTCCACAGAAGGTGACTTCCATGGTGGTCGGTGCACCAGGGAGCCCAATCCAAATGGGACCTGGACTGGGGCTTGATTGAACCCCAGGGCAGAATTCTTCAAACCACTCAGTGTTGGCCTGCCTCGTCCCCCTTTGATGTCTAATGATCCCGTTTACCTTCGGGTAAACTGTGTGCTTTGGGAAATCTCATCCATACTCAGTACGTCAGCCACGCTAGTAGCTAATTCAGGTTTCACAAATGAGAGACCCTATATCTCTGAACTTTCCTGTCTTTTTTTTCCCCAAAACTAAAAATCTCAGCAACAGCTCTTTTTTTTTTTTTTACATCAAGAATCAGAATTTCCCTTCAGAAACTCCATTGAGGACTTCCCTGTAACAGTGCTCCTACTGTCTAGCTTGTTAAGTTTTATTGCTGAGCCACTCATAATTTTATTCTGACTGATATTTCTTTCTAACTCAGACCCAAGGTTCTAAATCATTTTGTTTGTTCCTTAATACACCTTTTCAGTTGTTGTAATATCCGATTGCAGTCAGCAAATTATTAGACAGAAGTTGCATTATTATTATTCAGACTTAGTTTGGCATTGATTTTAGTAATAGCAAATGAAGATTTGATTTTTATTTAGCAGGCTAATTATTTTAAACAACAAATTACTGTGGCTGTGTATCTGAAAATCCTACTAATGACTGTAACCAGTGTTGCAAGAAAGACTATTAGTAACGAGCAGTGTGGTGTTCTTTGGAGTAGGATGTTGGTATTCAGTCACCAATAATGACTTCAGTCCTGAGCTTTGTAAAAACATCTAGAAAGATGTTTTAATTTATTTAAGATTCTATGGCTTGTCAGTGTTTAAAGTGAACAAATAAGAATCTCTGCAGCTATTAATCCAGCTGGATATAAGCAATTATGTTGGGGAAACACAAGTGTAGGATTTCTGAGTTGTTTTTCCAAATGATAAAATCATGCATGATATAGTGGCTATGTTGTATAATTCGTCTGTAATATGTATAATAAACCATTTATCTTTAAGGCTTGATCTTTGAATGTGTCCATATCCATGTCTTATCCCTTTGTTAATTAACTGTGGGTTAACAGTAGGACCGCATGCCTGAACATCAAGTTGGGCAGCTAAAATTAGGCATATTGCATTCTGTAGCTGGTGGACGGGATTTCAGTAGACTGTAGCATTCACTGAATGGACATCACAAGTGTAAGAAGCTTGCAGCAGTGAGTGACTACATATCTCTGTGTCTCAGTGTGTTGTTTTATTTTTCACTTTTTATGTGCAAAAATAATTTATTCACCCCCTACTTAGCATATTTTTACAATTATTGAACTCCAAAATGTTTCACAACCCAGCCTGTTGCCACCCAGGATGTAACTGGCTGCTATCCTAATTATAGATAATAAGATCTGTAGATAAGGAAATGCTTTATTTCTTTGCTAACTTTGTCAGCTATGGCTCTTGCACGTGGATCTGATATTCCTTTTGTTTGATTTCTAGCGGGGTTTAAACGGAAGATGTCATCCTGTCTGTATGAGTGCCTTTGTGAGGCAGAGCTTGAAAAATATTATCCACACTTTGCTGCCCTCGGCCTTCAGAAGATAGATGAACTAGCCAAGGTTTCCATGAAAGATTATGCCAAACTGGGGGTCCATAACATGAATGACCGCAAGCGTCTCTTTCAACTCATAAGAATCATACAAATTATGCAGGAAGAGGAGGAAACGGCAGACACAGCCAAGGAAGATTTTCAAACAAGTGGCCTCCTCCAGCCTCAGGTGACCAGATCAGGTCCTCGCAGACAGCTGCGTTTTGAGTCCCTCTTTGAAAAAAAGGATGGAACAGTTAAAGACTGTGAAACTGGATCATACGGTTTATCTGATTTTTCTGCCAGTGAAGACGGTTTAGTGGAGATGTTGGGACATGTTCCACGAGCTGACTTGGGTTACAATAAAGCAGCCAGAAGAGAAACCCTGACTGCTTCTGGGGCATGCACAGAACATGACATGGACTATCCTACAATGTATTCATCAAATAATATTGCCCCTCTGCTGGGGAGTTCTGAAGCCCCCATCATACAAAGAGTAACTCATATTTCAGGGTATAATTACGGACTACCTCATTCTTGCATCAGGTAAACAACATTCATTTTTATTTCGTTAGATTGGCATTAACTGACAAGGTTAGTCATTCCTTTATGAACTTAGGAAGGAAGATCCTTCTTCAATGACTCTGAATGAATGCCTTGTATGACTAAAATCAAACAATAACCAGCTTCTACAAAAGCAGTGGAAAATCCTGTGGGGAGGGGAAACATTAAGGAGCATTTAGGATTTTCCAAGGTTGGTAGAAAGAAGTAGTTGAATTTACTGGCTGAAGCTTACCAGAACTGGCTAAAAATAGGCTTTTATCTTTTGCAATACTTATGTTTGTGTTGGGCTGGTATTTTGAGCTAGCTTCTCTTATTCTATTAATAGAGCCTTTTTGCATAATTAAAACAATTTATTTACAAATTCTATCACTCCATATAGGTAATACCCCATGTCAAGTTTCCACCAGTAAAAGTAGCACATGGATTTTATTAAGGGAACACCCAATCCGTTACCTTAAAAATTAAATTAATTTCTTTTCTTTTTTTTTTAATGGAAATCCAGAATTAATAGTACCAGCTGATCGGGCATTTTGCAGGCAAGGCCTGCAAAAATTGCATACAGATCTGCTAATGAACCTAAATCCTGAACTTCAGCACCCCAAATTGATCCAGCTTCTCTGCCAATATGCCATCAAACTAAGTTACAGTACTCCCATGCTGCTCTGCTATAGGGCATTTTTCCTGTGTCAGGGTTTTATGATGTTTATGGATAGATCATTTCATCTAGTGGTAGCAGTTATAGTCATTTGTGAGCTAAATCATAGTCTGAACCAGAGAATCCGGTGATGAAAAATTGATGCATGTACATGCTTATGTTTCCCAAGGGTCATTTCAGTTTAAAAATCCTTTACTAAAAATGTGCCTGGAAACTTGTCTACTTTTTCTCATATTTTGGTTGGAACACATCCGTGCATTCAAATCCAACACCAGTACATTGTACAGAATGTTTCTAAACACACTTTTATTGGTTTGGCAAATTCTGTGGTGACATAACTGAGTTCATAAAAAGTCTGGGAATGTTTGAGTTTCTCAAAGTTAATACTGCTGGTTGTGCAGCTGGTTAAGCTAATTGGAAAAAAAATAGATAAATGATACAGAGAATATTTAATATAGATCACACTTAAATAGAATTATTCTATTTATAAATGAGTTAATGATGAAATATTAATGCAGCCAAAAAGCTCAACACATAGGAACAGCTGCTGCGATGCAGGCTGTATTCAGTCAGCAGCGAAGCAATAGCCAATATCCAATGCAAAATGTAGGCAAGTTAATCCAAAATTGCAATCCAGACAGCTCCCAGTTGATTGGTACTTTACCAGGAAGCACCTAAACCCACTAGGCACCTCATCATTTTTTTTTAATGTTCTCTAGATGCCTGGAGAACTGTGTCTACACATGCCCAGACCTGCCCCAGTTTGAGCAACTCAGCACTTATCTCTCATCTAACCTGATCCAGAAACTAAGTGCTCCTCTGCCTAAACCACCCAGGAGCCTTCGTCAGGGCTGGGACTCTGTGCAGCAAAGAACAGAGTGCCCTTGGGGCCAGAGAAAGACAGGGCACAAGAGGGAGCCTGGCTCTGTAGCCCAGTACTTGAGGCACTCGCTTTGGAAGAGGGCCCCTGGGTTCTGGTCCCTGCTCCTGGGACTTTGTGCTAAGTACTCATTGGATACAACCTCAAACTGCCCTGAGGCAGAGGAGGATCATAACCACTAAGATACAGGGCCTCTCCCTTTCCCTCTAGCCCTGTGATGCGTGCATTCAGAGCCCTGGGTTCTGTAACAGGAAGGCAGAACAAGCTAAGACTTGGTGGTCGAACCCTCCCTTGGGTGATGAGAGCCATGTGCTGGAACCCCTTCAGGCCTTCGAGCCTGGGACTTGGTGGCTGACTGCTCTAACCACCGCACCAATATATAAAAGGTGAGCAGTGCCTGCTCTAACTGCCTTTTAAAAGGAAACAATAAAACTTGTTCAGTCCTTTGGATATACAGATGTCCATATCTGTCCCCATGAGAGGGCTCTAGGCTTAGGATCTGAAGTGAGCAGAGGTGCCTACCTGCAGCCCTGACTCAGGTGCCTAAACTCTGGAAGGAGTTGGAATTTCAGATCCCCCCTCACCTCCCCACGCCTGCTGTTTCCTACTAGCCGGCTGTAGGTGTCCTTCTGTACAGCACGTGGGGTTTGGGACAGGCTCTGCTGAGGCACCTGTTTCCCTATGCACTGTATAGGGAGCCCCTGTATCTAACCCACTGTTCTGGATTCCAGTTTGGAAGGCAGGCATTTATACGTTGGGCATCATGGTAGGCACGTAGGTCTCTTGTTGAATGTGGCCCTTTGTCTCTATCGGATTTGCCTTGATGATGACTGTAGTCTTAGCTGCTAGGAACCCAAACAGTATAAATACAATTAAGAATGCAGAAAAATCAATAGCTCCTTTGAACATGCTTAAAAGGTTTTCTACCTGCTCGTAGCAAATGGCTTGATTTTAATGTTAGCAGACAGGGTCGCTCGTAAGCTGTTTCTGCCTTTATTGTCTCTGCCATGCTCCCAATTGCTTCTCTCTTTCTGAAAATAATATAAAAAGATAGTTCTAGGACATCTGAATGCAGTATATGTTTCCTACAGTGATTTAGGTTTCCTACTATAATCTCTAGGTGCAGTACTTTGTAATTAAAACCCATACTTTGTTTCAGTAGAAAATATGAGTCTGTACTGTCTGAGAATCCCTTCCCTCACAGAAACGCACTCTCATATCAAGGGATCAGTCATTCCTGCCTCTCCATTTCTCCTGCTTCTCATCTCTTGGGAATGATGGTCCTTGTGCTCTAAAGGTCACCCCGGCCAGGCTCTGGTGAAATCAGCTGCAAAGCAGGTTCCAGAGCCAGTGACCTTTTGCTGAGAACATCTGGTACCCACCAGCATCATGATTATTGTTGGATGGGTTATTAACTCAGTCACCACAGATAATCTCAATTGTAGTCTCTTAACTTTTAGCACAGGTTTTGATACAGTCTCCCACAACATTCTCACAAACAAACAATGGGAAGTACGGGTTGGATGAATGGACTGTAAGGCGGATAGAAAACTGGCTGGATTGCTGGGCTCAAAGGATAGTAATGAATGGCCCAGTGTGTAGCTGGCAGCCAATATCAAGTGGAGTGCCCCATGGGTCAGTCCTGGGCCCAGTTTTGTTCAATATCTTCATTAACAACCTGGAAGCTGGCATAGAGCGCAGCCTCAGCAAATTTGCAGATGACACTAAGTTGTGGGGAGTAGTAGATGCGTTGGAAGGTAGCGCTAGGATTCAGAGAGATCTTGACAAGTTGGAGGATTGGACCAAAAGAAACCTCACGAGGTTCAACAAGGACAAGTGCAAAATCCTGCACTTAGGAGGGAGCAGTCCCATGCACCAGTGCAGGCTGGGGGTGACTGACTGGGCAGCAGCTCTGCAGAAAAGGACCTGGGGGACAGGGGACCATAAACTAAATATGAGCCAGCAGTGTGCCCTTGTTGCCAAGAAAGCTAAGGCATCCTGGGTTGCATTGGTAGGAGCATTGCCAGCAGATGGAGGGCAGTGATTCTTTCCCTCTATTCAGCACTGGGGAGACCACATCTGGAGTCCTGTGTCCAGTGGGACCCCACTACAGAAAGGCTGTAGACACACTAGAGAGAGTCCAGTGGAGGGCAACAAAAATGGTTGGGGGCTGGGGGACAGGACTTATGAGGAGAGGCTCGAGGAACTGGGCTGATTTAGTCTGAAGAAAAGAAGACCGAGGTGGACTGAATAGCAGCCTTCAAATCCCTGCAGGGGGGCTGCAAAGAGGATGGAGCTGGGCTGTTCTCACTGGGGGCAGATGGCACAACAAAGCAATGGGCTTGAGTTGCAGCAAGGGAAGTTGAGGTTGGATAATAGGAAAAACTTTCTCATGAGGAGGGTAGTAAAACACTGGAACAGATTACCCAGAGAGGTGGTGCAGTCTCCATCCTTGGAGGTTTTGAAGACCCAGGTAGACAAAGCCGTGGCTGGGATGATGTAGTTGGGGCTGGTCCTCCTTGGAGCAGGGGGTTGGACTAGCTGTGACCTCGTGAGCTCCCTTCCACCCTCATTTTCTATGATTCTTAATGGAAAGAGGTTTCCTTTCCACTACAAAGCTCTGATCCTGTAAACCTTATACATGTGAGAAGTCCTGTGGAAGTTGACTGATGAGATGGCCGGTCCAAGCAAGGATGTCTTCTGAGTAAAAGCTGCAGGATCAGGACCTGCAGCTGAGAGCCAGTCTTGGAGGAAAACCTTGAGTGCTGTTCAGTCTCATGTGGATCCCAACTGACATTTAAATCCCAAGACTATTGTCTTAACAAGAAGTGGAAGGACTGAAGCTAATCACCTTGTGGTCTTAATTTAGTGTCATCTTGCGTATTTGTTTTAAATTAGCCTGTTAAAGGAGTTGGAAGAGCATTTGGTACACAAGACAGACACATGACTTACAGGAAGGCGGCTGGGTTCAATTAAAATAATTTGTTTCTGATTCGAATTCACATTCAGGTCCAGGGAGACCATCATTTTTCATTTGACTGAAGGGTGCTTGGGAAAAAGGAAAATTGGAGTGGACACAAATTGTTATAACAGCAGCATCTTTACGCACTCTCTCTCAAGATGTTTGCACAGTGGATTAATCACCTGGAGAAGTGATTGTTTCTCAGGATGGCAGGGAAACAGCAGAAGTAGATTTGGCAGGCCACACAACTGTGCTCCTTTGTGATTGAGACTTGTCACCTTTGAACATAGGTTTAGACCTAAATTAAGGCACGTGACACACATTAATATGTAGATTAAGGGTTTTTTACCAACAAAGCAGAGTTGAGTCTTGGTAGCATTTGATAATAACATGTTATGGTGTTACCAGAAGTTGACAGAGATGGGACAGGTAGATAGAATGATACGAGTGAGAGAGATCAAAAGGAGGATTGACAACCCATAAAACCTTAAATAGATTAAAACACCTTTCTAGATGTTTTTACAGAGCTCAGGACTGAAGTCATTATAGGCGACTGAATGCCAACAGCATACTCCAAAGAACACTACACTGCTTGTTACTAAAACAGTCTTTTCCTTGTAACACTGGTTACAGTCATTAGTAGGATTTTCAGATGTACAGCCACAGTAATTTGTTGTTTAAAATAATTAGCCTGCTAAAGAAAAATCAAATCTTCATTTGCTATTACTAAAGGCAATGCCAAACTAAGTGCCAGTTACAGAGTTGTCTTTGTGCTACTCTATAGAGAAGGCGGAAGAGGGAAGGTCAAAAACCTCCACCCAAGATGAAAAGCCATGACCAAGGAATTGAATTGAGACCAAGATATGAGGCTCCAAGAGCCACAGCAGTCTTCATGACAGTACTCAAGAAAGACGGATATTAATGAAAACTGTATGCTTTCTAGTAAGACAGTTCAGTCCAATATTTGGTCAAGGAATATGTTATCTCCTGGACCAGGGCACTCTCATTATGATACAATCTAAAGAAATGCCTGGTGAGAAGGGACTCCAGGAGATGAGCCTTTTTTTGGATGATGTTAGTCTAGATCTTTAGTTTGTGGACAACCAAATTTATGTCAGGTCATTCCCAAGCTCAGCACTACGCTACATATAAAAAAAAAAAACCAACGTTCAATGCAGTCACTTTAACAAATGCACACAAAATTGGTGGTGGTGTTATCCTGCAAAGCAGACTAGTTTTTGCTTTTGTGACAGCCCCCAGTTTTATGTGAGCCTTCAAAACAAAACAGTTATCTTCACTAAACAGTAACCCGCTAAACTTGCAGCCAAATTTATAGATCTCTCCAATTACGAAGCCCCTTTTTAAACCCAAATTTGCAATCCCATGTTACAGATCAAATACCTCGGAGAAAGAGACACCGTGGACAGAGACTGACAAAATTCGCGTGTGTGTCCGGAAGCGTCCGTTGGGCCCGAGAGAGGAGCGGCGCGGGGAAGTCAACATCATCACGGTGAAAGATAAAGAAACCCTACTTCTTCACGAGAAGAAGGAGGCGGTGGATCTTACTCAGTATATTTTGCAAGTAAGAGGTCTCCATTTACACTTGGGCTTTATAATCTGTAGGGATCTGGGGCAAAGTGACACCTTAATGGAGCAACAGTCCAGGGAGAGGTGAAAATAGATTTGGGGTTTTGGTAAAGGATTTCTCTCTCTTTCTCTCAGATTAAACACAAATGGCAGGGTGCATCTCTCATCCCAGTGCGATTACTATGGGATTACTCCTGAATCACACCAAGATGAGGATGTTAGACACGTCTCCCTTAAAAGTGCCTTTCAGTTGCCCTTTACCTTGCTCCTTAGTAAATGAATATTCCTTTTCTGAATCACGGATGCCAAAATAGGATGCTTTGCTAAACATATGGCTGGAGCACATTGCCTAGTGCTGGGTCCCATATAGCCACATTTGCTTGTACTTCAGTTTAGGACTTGCATTTCTAAGAGGGGCACATACCCTTTGACTCCCTCTTTTCTAATTTTTCCCCTCAGTCCAGGGGCAAACATTTTTCAAAGCAAAGTTTTTGTTTGGTCTTTGTTGCAAAATCCTGGCTACTTTCTTCTGCCCTTGTTCAAATTCTCAGTTCTGACTGACAGCACCAAAAACACAGCTGATTTCTAGAGAGCAGCAAGCTATACTCGTTCTCCTGTGCGTTATTTTTATAGTCTCTAGACTGAGAACAACTGTTGGGGGTATCCAGTAAAATTAAATTTGCTAACTCTCCCAGGCCCAGTTCATATAGCATCTTTTATAGCCTCGTATACTCTGTAATTCCAACCCTCTGTTTCCATCCAGCCAGCTATATTCAGCATTTATGTGGCGCCTATCACCTTCATATCTAAGTGCTGAAATAAATCTCCACACTAAACTATATTCTGGCAATACTGACAAAAAAAAACCCCTTGCTATAAATCCCTGTCATTCAAGTAGAAATATGCCATCGCTTCACTAAAATGATCTGATTTAGATTTCTTGGGGTGATAACCTTTTATTAGACCAATTGGGATAGTTAGACAAGCTTTTGAATACAAGACATTCTGTGTTGGTATGGACCATTTATCCAAAATTCATATAGCCTTCAGTTCTGCATCTCTTCTGGCTTTCCTTATACTATTTTGTTTATATTCTTCACTGTAACATTACAGATAATGATCAACTTGGAGCCACGCTGAAGTGACATGGTATTTTAATGAGCAAAATTTTAAAATCTAGCAGGACCTTTTCCAAAGCCCATTGAAATCAATGCCCGTCTTTCCATAGGTTTCAGTGGGCATTAGATGAGGTCCTAAGATGGGTTCTTTTGCTTCTCAGACAAAACAGTCCAGTTTGCCTGGGAATGATTTTATCTTCCATGGGCACAAAAAGACTTTATACATTGCCTGGTTTTAGTTCTTCCTAATATGTGGCCTCATGTTAGTGATGTATGCTGGTTCACTTGGATGAGTTTTTAATTTTTTTATTTTTAAAATTATGCTTATCTTTTTTCCTATGGCTTTGAGATGATGGGGAGGGGAAACCATCTTCTCTTTTCCTTTCCTTTCCTTTCCTTTCCAACACGCATGCTCTGTTTCTTGGTTGGTTGTACAAAGTTTGGTCATTTGGAGCCTGAGGTCAGCGGAAAGACTTCTGGTAATGTCAGCTGGCTTTGGATTGAGCCCATAGCATGTGCTGCTCATTAGGGGGTGAAAGTGAAATGAGCCAGATTCCTTTTCATGTAAAAATCACATCTATTTTTCAGCATGTTTTTTATTTTGATGAAGTCTTTGGGGAAGCATGTACCAATCAGGATGTGTATATGAAGACTGCTCATCCCCTCATTCAGCATGTTTTTAACGGGTAGGCTACCAATGCTTACATTTGTTATTCTTGCCCTTTTAGTTTTAATTTTCTTAGACTATTTTGGTTTCAGTTTTCATTTTGCTTTTCTGGACACTTGTGAAAAACAGCATCGGTTTCACCTTTTCCATTCATAGTATTGTTGTTAAGTAAAATATCTGTGTCTACAGTTCTAACCCTGTTGTCCTTAACCAGCCAAAACTCTCTTTGTACGTAGTGGGAGATTTATTCAGAAGATGGATAAATCAGACCTTACAGGGAAGAAGAGAGGTAGTTTGATCTAGTTAGAAATGGAGACTGGCTGTCAGGATTCCTGGATTCTAATTCTCTGTTGTAACATAGACTTCCTGTGAGCTAGAACAAATTATATGGCTCCCTTTGCCCAGTGGAGCTGTCTTGCATAAAGCACATAACATTTATATACTTTATAAAGCACAGAAAGATGTATTTATAACATTCACAGTACTAGAAAGGCAATAGAGAGTTTAGCAGTAAGCCTTTGATTGTATTTTTGTATTTACTTAGAGAGAGAATTATAATTATATGTGATCCACTTAATGGAAAAACGAATGTGGTTTTACATGTATAATTTAATTTCCTTAATGAAAAAGAATAATGTGCCCATGCTGAAAAATTAACTAGATGGAGCTTTTTGTTGTCAAGAAATTCCGAGTATCCTTTGGATCAGAATTTCATTCATCAGTTGTTTTATGCATCACAGACCTGGGAAGGGAAAGCCAAAAAGAGACTAACTTGTTATGTAATTTATACCAGGGAGAATTAATTGGCATTTTGTAGGCATTGTTATGGTCCAGCCATTGACAAAGATCCAGCAGACGAGTGTAAATTGATATAACCAGAGTCTGTCATGTGAAGGTCAGTGCTGGAAGTGCTAAGCTCTTTCATTGTGTGAACCCCATGTTAATATAGAAGTGACCTCATGGATATTTTGCCCCTCATTTTCATGATCGTGCAGACCTGCTTCCCTCCGATTCATGATCTAAGCCACCTTCTCCATTCACGATTGAATAACATCCATGCAGTGCCAACAGCAGTTGCTTACAGGGAAAACTACAATAATGCAACAACCTTCAATGTATTTTTAATTTCCTTTAATATATGTTTAGCATCTGATAACAAGGGGGGGAAAGCTGGCACTATGCGTTTAGCCAGTTCTCGACAGAAACGTAGTCTACAAATCTGGTATCAAAGAACGGATCTTGTAGGACCTCGGGAGCAGATGTAATATAAAACCTCGCTTCTGGGGGTCAGCCATGTGTGTAGATATTAACCCAGCAAAATGTCTTTTAATAGATTTGAATGGATAAGATACAGCACCAAAAATAAAAATGATCTTTTTTAGAGGCAACGCCACCTGCTTTGCATATGGGCAGACTGGTGCTGGCAAGACTTACACTATGATCGGCACTCACCAGAACCCTGGACTCTATGCGCTGGCTGCTAAAGACATCTTTAGACAACTGGAGGCATCCCAGCCAAGGAGAGATCTCCTTGTGTGGATCAGTTTTTATGAGATCTACTGTGGACAGCTTTATGACCTGCTAAATGGAAGGAAAAGGTATTTAAGTAAAAGACGTATTGCTGCAAAACATGGCCAGTGAATGACTTTGTTACTGATATTTGCAATTAAATTTAACAGAATTAAGAGTTCCAGTAAATAGTGTTGATTTAAATGGGGCTGTTTCTGGGCTAAGGAGCTACTCAGGGTAAGTAAGGATGGCAGCATCTGGCTCTATACACTGTAACGTTCAGAAAGACCCTTGCGCAGTGGTGCAAGTCTGAGATACAAGCTTTGTATTGCACCGTCTGCCAGGCTCCATCCCCTCAATTAGTTCAGGACTAATGGCAATCAATAGTATGGGGCAAGTTCTGTTGTTTTCTTTCCTTTTCTTCAGCAAAGATACTTAAGATCGAATTTAAAGCCTACGTGGGAAAGAAACAATTGGCTAGAGCAGGGAAGCTGAAAATAAGCACAGTGTGCTATTGCTGGAGGTGTCAGGGAGGAAAAAATTCACTGTTATATATTTCCATTATGCTACGCCTGAGTCTTCTCTCGACCCAGGGTAGCACAGTGAAGCCCAAGTGATCTTTGGTTTGCTAATGTGGCTGTTGACTAGTATTTTACCTGAGAGACCTAGACATTTCAGTGGGCACTTTGATTACTGTGAAGCAGAAGTATCAAGATGGTAAACTGCAGTGGCAAAACCTGGGAGAACTGAAAGAACTCGAGTTTTCCTCACATGAAAAACACCCTGGTCTAAAATACCTGAAAACTCAAGAGGGGATAATGCTCGGTTAAAGTCGTGACAATATAAGTCTTCAACTGTGGTCTGGAAAGAGCATGATCTTGCACCTGAAAACTGGTAGGGTGCGTGAAGGGAGTATGCCTTGAGCATGCCACAGTGCTCAGCAAATACCTGCCTTGTCTTTGTGAGAGAGAGCAGCTCATTGCCGGGCAATCATCTGTGTCTGTGATTTGCCATTTGCTGCTGAGTGAGAGCCCCTAAAGAGATCCCATTTCTTGGGTGCAAGCTAACCAGTTGATATAACCTGCTACTGCACCATCACATTTACTTCTCTAACTCATAAAAGAATCGCTCATATAGCCTGTGATTCTGCAGCTGTGGGAATCTTCTGTAAAAGCCACAGAATTATGGGCCTAAGCTTTCACTAAAAGGAGTTCAAGTAACCTTGAAATCAGGGGGTGTGATTTTTTCACTGAGTCTGGAGACAGTGTGAAACAAAGGCTGTAGGAGAGGCGTGTGCTCTGACATCTAAGATGGCAATGTCCATGTTAACAGTATTGTGTCACTGCTGATCATATTAGCAGAAATATCCAGCTAATTTACATTGCCAATGGCCCTTTAACAATGAAATGTTAGAAGAGCTTTGTATAAATGAAATGGCTATGCAGTGCTGGCAGTAAGTTAAAAGCAGCAGGCATTGTACTGTGATTTGTGGCCTTGAAATTATTCTTTGCAGCACTTCTCTGTATAACTGATACCTACAGGAATTCCTCGCTATTTTATAAGGATTTCTTCAGAACACTCCATTTCTGCTAACTGGTGTTGTTTCTCCTGCAGACTCTTTGCAAGAGAAGATAGCAAGCATGTGGTGCAAATAGTCGGATTGCGTGAGGTTCAAGTGGATACTGTGGGTCTCCTTTTAGAGGTAATTTGACTTTGTCAGTGCATAGCTTATCTTCTAAAACCTCTGCACTAAATAAGTTAGCAGGGAGGGATGACTTGCTACGCTGTTTGGGCACTGTTGTAGAAGCACACGGGCATGTTCCCTTACCGGGCTCTAAGGCAGCAGCAGAACGACTTTGAACCACTTGGCAGCCACAGAAGAGCACTGGAGGGACACTTTCAGAAGTGCCTTTAATTAATGCGTTCAAGTTCCGCTAAAGCAAGTTACAGTGACCTACCTCACTTGCTGACTCAGAGCCAGTGCTACAATGCTCAGACCTCGGATGGGATCTTTGCCATGAGGCTGAGTGCCGTAACTATCCGGAAATGACAGTGTCCCAGCAAAACAAACCCTGAAATCTTAGAACACAAAATGTGACTCCTTCCATTTTAGTAGAGGAGATTTAGCTATTTTCCCCCCCAGAAACCATATACCTCGAAAAATAGTTCCAAAAGGGAAATGTAAGTGCACTCAACAGACTGATCTGCATCTGAAACAACCCTGTAGGCAAAAGATGGCACATCAGGTGAAGGCAACAACACGTGAGAAATGGTGGAGAGAGAGGGATTCAGTCACACAAAGCAGATGCTGCAGTTGCTTCATTTATTTTATACTTGTCTTGATGGGTCTGTTTTCCTCCTATGTGGACTTCTCTGGCTCCAACAGACTCTTTCCTTTCACCTCTGCCTTCTCTTTTCTGGATAAATTGGGAGGGGGGTTGGTGTAAATTTGTAAATAAACACAGTGAACTAGAGATAATAAAATATTTCGGCTGCTGAGCAGAAGCAGAATGGAAACGCTGCCTGGACTAACCGTGCTGGGTCGCAGCTGTTTTTTAAAGCTAGCTGTGTGTCTTTTGACAACAGCTGACACTTGGCATAAAAAGGCTGCGGCCTCACTCTCCCACTTGGCTCAGTAAGACAAGGACAGCCTCGTTTTCTGCTCTGTTGTGTACTGAGCGAGCTGGTGCTGAGTCCATCTGCCATCCAGCTTGTTGTCTGCATCATTTAAACTTTGTCTCAGTGAGGAACCAAAGATCCTGTGCACCTGATATTGTAGCTGGGCCTTTTAATATTGGCACAGTACTGCTTATTTCCATTCCACTTGACAGTGGCTGCCTTCTGGGCTTTTATCCCCCATTAACTCTGAGCTTCAGGAGATGCTGGTGACGTTTCTGCAAATTATGGCACAAACCTGCTGAAAGGCTGATTAATACATTCCTCTGCATTATCACACCCTGCACACAGAAGAGTTATTACATGGTTTTGTTCTCACAGGTATCTTGGCAAAACAATTCATTGCATATTGTCCAAAGACTCCTTTGAATACAGAAAAGTCTCTAGCCTGATTTAATGCTCTTGAATAGCACGCTACCATACGTATTGGATGAGTCTTCAATGCTCTCCTCATGATTATTCAATATTTATTGATATTGGCCTCAGTTCAGAAACTCTTCGCATTTAGCTCAAGTTTAACAAATGCTCAGGAGCTACAGCAGTCAGCTAGCTTGCTGGTTCAGAGTTGACTGATCACTGAGAGGCCTAAATACAGCCTATTTGTGACTAAAGATGGTCTTGATTTTGCTACATTGGCAGTAAGACTAAAATATTAAAAATGGTGCTTTTAATTTGGCCTGAACACCTTGCTACACCCCTTCTTGTTGGAATTACTGTGGCAATTTCATAGGTTGTTAAAGGCTCAGGACAGAGAATAATACAAAATTGTAGACCCGAAGGTCTTTTTATACTTCTGCTACACCTCCCCTTCCCTTCCCCTGTTATCTCGGTAGTCAACTCTGAGCATAATTGATCACTTTAGCCTTGCTGCTTGCTTTGGCATTGTTCCTCTTGCTCCCAGTTACAGAGATGGATGAGTGGATTAGCACTTTTTGTCACACCGTATAATATGTCTCTTTAGAAAGAACCCTTCAGTGATGTGAGAACATGAATTTTAAAAAAAAGCAAATTGTCCACACTGTGAGTCTTCAGGGTTACCCCTATGCCTCACTCTGTGCTTTTCCACAATGCATTTATTCCACTTGATTATAAACTAGTCATTTTGCAAATAGGAGGGGATGTGCAATATGCTGATAATTCCTGTCCTTGAAGTTCTCATTTTACAAGCCCTTTGATGTCAGCCCTAGGGAATAGCTGTCCATAGGGTCCTAGCTAAATATGGCATATAAAGAGTCTGCATGTATTGAATGTACAATTTACTTGGCTTTTGTCCTCTTTATTTTCCAGGTGATTTTGAAGGGTGGGAAGGAGCGCAGTACTGGAGCTACTGGTGTCAACTCAGATTCTTCCCGTTCACACGCTATCATCCAGATTCAAGTTAAAGATGCAGCTAAGAGAACATTTGGGAGGTGAGGTTGGAAGCAGAATTATCCAATATGACAGACATTTCAACTTAGCTTATTATCTTTAATTAAATCATGCGCATCTGTAGTGGCAGAGTGGTCTTCAGGGGGCAGTGCTGAAATTGGAGAAGTCAAATTCAGAGATAATCAAGCAACAAGTTGAGCATGATAGTTGTCGTTGTTGAACTTGTTGGCTGGATTAAGTTGGGAGCCAGTATTAGAGGCTTCTTCAAGTGGGGCTGAACTGCATGTTAACCTTCCTTGACTACCTGAAGAAGGTAGCTGTCAGGATGAAGATATAAGGGTCAATTTGTTCCAGAAACAGGCAAGCACAAGCTGGGGAGCATCGGTATTACAGACATCAGTGCTGGCCCATGCATACCCTGTAGCAAGTACTGTGCATCGGTATGGACCAAATGCAGTCACACTCAACTTGTTGACATCCAGTTGAACTCTGCAATGTAGTACATCATTGAACCCCTCAAGTTGGCCCCAACACCTTGGCTGCCTGTGTTGTCACACATTACTCCTCCATCCATTGGCTGCAAGGCAGCAATTCTATGGGAAGTCCAGCGAATTAAGGAAAACAAACGTCTCCCCATCCACCGGGACCATAACAATGATCTTCACCGTCACTTAGTCGCGCAACCCCTTCTGGATCCACATGTTTAAGCTTCAACAATATGACTTCAACCCTGATAAAGCTTGGAAAACCAAATGGAGTTCACAGGAAGTCCCAAATAAACATCTTGTGATAGACCCAATGCACGCTGTCCCTGGCTTTGATCTCCCATGACACTCATGGACAACTCTAAACCGTATCCGTACAAACCATGGGAGATGCAGATACTTGATGCACAAATGGAAAATTAAAAACTCTCCAGTGCGCAACTATGGTCATCCAGAATAGATCATGGAACATATAATGACTCAATGCCCGATCCATGAATACAAAGGCGGTATCACAGCGATACACTCTGCTGCTCCTGAGGCAATTGTCTGGCTCAGCCACCTAAATATAAAATTATAGTTGCTGTTCTGTATTTAAATCAGCCGTACGAAAGAATAAGAGGCCTCTGATGAATGGCAAGTGGTTGCTGCTGTTAACAGGCATCCTAGTCCAAGAAAATATGGTCTGCTTTTTTTTTTTCCAAGTATCCAGCAGTACTAAACACATTCCAAACAAATAAGATGTGCCTACTTTCCCCAAAGATTTTTTCTTACAAATGACAAGTCAGAGCAACAAATGGGAAGAGTGCACAGGGTCAGAAAATTGTTGTAGGTGTAGCACATGTGGCATGGATTTTGTCATTGAATAGGAGGTAGAGCTAAAATAAGGGTTGTGAAAGTAGAAGTGGATAGGACTGTCATAGGAAAAGCAGCAGGGAAA